GCGGAAACGCGGTTACGTCCCTCGGAAAGCCCAATGCCAGAAATAGTGGGGTTTCCCTATAAACCAGTGTACAGGGGCCACTCACATGGTGCTCGGCCAGATGCTAGCGATCGGGTAGATCACGTAAGGTGGGAGGTCGAGGTGCGAAACCCAGTATGACGAGTTGCGCAAGGGATTGTTCGATCGCAACTGCTAGACAGTAATTTGATAAAATTATCGCATTCTATCCATCTTTTTAAAGCATTGCTTTTCGTTATTTCCCCTTCACCTAATCGAAGGATCCCGCACTTTCATCCCCTTGCCTTCCTCCTGCTCGCATTTTTTAAGGTTCTGACTCATCACCCGACGCCTTGTTTTCGAAATGCGAGGATGGGTTGGCGATGTTGATTTTCCCACGGGGTCCACCGTCCCAAATCGATACAGAGAGGGTGGTCACTCGGAAATTCTGTGAGCTGGTGCTCAGACGCCACCCGCTCGAGCCCCCTTGCATTCACCAAGACACTTCCCGGGGCGGGGGCATTGGTTCCCCCTGGCTGTAAATGCTACAGTAGCCATCAGTTTTTGATTTCATGAGAAAGTATTTTCGTTTTCGATTTCGGTAGGTGCCAATATGGCTTATACAAATCCCTCAAATAATCGATTTTTCGTCCTCAAAAAGAGATTCAGCTAGTGCTATAACTATCGCAATCTGCCGCTTTTACTGATACTTTCCGTCCTTCTTAAATATGCCGATATTTGCAACTTCACATTAATTAGTTCTTTCCTTTTATCTTCAGGCTATTCGCCTCAGCTGGGGAAATTTTTCCAATAACATGCGTCGCTACATCAAAGTGCGGCCACGAGGGGCATTCAACAACCGAATCGCCCACAATTCTTCAAATTATAGATGACGATGATAAAAATGTTTAATTGGTAAGGTTTTTTTAAATTAAAATCCTTCCATTCTTTTCTTACTGATGATTCGAATTTCTACACGTTTTAGAAGCAACCGGAAATCTGTTGTGCCCAGCCTACCACTGGTACCTGCTGAACTTCAACGTTGTGTAAATGTATGAGCCGGCAAATTTTAAAAGCGGGATATAGATTGAACAGGATAAAAAAATTAAGGTAGCTTTCATTTTATGAGTTCACTTCTTTTTGGAAAAAAAAGAAAAAGCATGGCTTTAGAAAAGGAAAAATTCAAGCACCCGAAGATTGTGGGGCGTTTATATGCGCTGCCGATCAGCACTTCCACACGATAATTAAAATGGAAAAGCAGCTGGTAAAGGTGAGTCGTCGTGAAAAAACCAACGAAGCGCTAACGCAATCGTTAAAAATACTGTCTAAGCAAACGGCGAAGTAAAGTGTGCCGATTTTCGAATTCTTTATTTTGATGCGCGCCTGTAAGCCCTTGCAAAAAAACTAGTCAACCCGGTTCTTAGCAACGAGGGCAATTATTTTGATGGCTAAATGACCATGCCCTTGTAGTCTGCGAAAATTATCCTCGTTATTATTATTGTATTAATTTTTAAAGAGGACGGAACGGTGCTATGGCGACTGGACAACTGCCTACTGCTGGGCTCGAACTTTGTGGAAATATATATGGCCCAACTCGTTTCCGAAGCAATGCCGTTTATCGGTATAGCATATTTTTGAGGCACTAGGTTGGTTTTACTCTCGTTTTGTTTGTGTTGATTTTGGGAATGTCAATGAAATATCTGAAAGGTGAACTTCAGAAAAGGACGAAGGGGCCGACGCTCGAGAACGACTGCGGCGCATTTGTGTGCGTCTACGAGTCAGCGATTGCGCACAGCAAAGAATGAAATGGAAAAAAGAGCATTGCAAAATCAGCATATGGCAAAGGTAAACTCTTTAGAAGTCATTTTTTGCCTATTAGTTTCGCAAGTAAGTGAGATCTGTTTTAAGAAAAAAAGGCTAAATTTGTTATCGGCCGGGACAAAATCTGCTTTGGAAAACCGGCGAAGCAACTTTTGGAAATTTTCAAATCCTTAATTTTGATCCGCGCTGAACGCTACTTGGAAAAATTTATTACTGCCCCTCCGTACCTTAAAAACTTAGTTTAGGAGAAGCGGAAAACTGTTGTGGCCTGTGTGCACTGGTAACTGCTGACCTTCGACTTTGCAAGAATGTATCGCCCGACAAAATAAACTATTTTCGAGGCACCAGGTTGGTTTTGTTTTACGAAATGCATTTGATGAGATTCAACCTGACGACGTCAAGGCCAATTTTAGAAAGGGACATACCTGGGGGCCGTACAACGATTGCGGCGCGTTCGTGTGCACTGGCGATCCACGCTACCATACGATAATTGGAATAAAAAAAATCATGCTCAAAATCCGGACGTGCAATAAGGTAGGTCCCCTAGTGATAGTCGTTTGTCTACCGCTTTTTATTATATAGCAGTTTAAAACTTAGAATATTTATTAAAAGTGCTAATTGCAAACCTGTTCTATTTTTTTGGCTGATACGCTACGAAATTCGTCACCCCCGTTTTTTAAGAAAAATTTGACACCAACATCTTAAATTATTAAACTTCCTAAAAACAGTGTTCAGAATTCAATTCGCGCAGGGACCTGATCACGGAGGTGTATGGCATCGAAAAGATGGCCGATAGTAGTGTCTGAGAATATTGATGAGTTGAAAAACAACGGCTAAGGGGCACTAGCTACGATGCATTCAGGTTCATTAATATTCTTCTTATTAATTCCTCTCTTACTTATCCACAATTATTTGTATTCTTTAGAAAGCCCAGGCAGCAGACGTACGCTGAAGCACGCCCGAACTTCGAAAAAATGATGATAAAGTCCGTGAAAATGTTGATTTGAAAGTGAGGGAACGGCTCGATTTTCAGTTCAATTATTAACTCGAAAATTAGTAGCATTAAAGTTTCTTCAGGACAACGCGCGAATGAAGCCGTTCTCGTGAGCTACGACGATTTTCTGATGGACCCGGGCGCTTCGTACAAAAGCTAGAGCGCCTGTAGAAAGGGTTTTCGTCACCGAAAATTTAGTAAGTTTCTTTCATGATAGAGGTGGTAGAAATTAGGGAAACAAAACTCGAAACAACAGGAAATAGGTGAAAAGGAACTTTTTCGTTAGGCTCAAGACGAATTGCGTTTGACTCGGAGTGTGTGAATAGTATGGGCCCGTCAATTCCACCGACCGCTCTCAATTCTGGTTTTTAAAGTTGCCAGAATTGGAATTTCTTGGGAGCAGGCAACTTTGTGTTACATTTTATATCCTATGATTCGCGTTAATGCACTCGGTATTTTAATAGAGGCTAGGTTCCTAATAGATTTTAATTCAATAGAGGTTTATAGAAGAATTTTTTCAGAGTTTCAATGGGACCTCCAAAGCAGTCGGCCTATACGAGCAGCAAGAAATCGACAAAATCAAACACAAATTAGATTTAGTTAACCGAATAAAGAATGTTACTGCTTGACCCTTCACTCTTTTCAAAAAGTTAATCCGGTCGCCATTTTTATTACTCTCTAACCTTTTCTGGTCATCGGCTGTTTTTTGAGGGCTCAGGCTTTTTAAACAACTTTCGCAAAACAAGGCACTTGCTTAAATATTAGGTTGGTCGGAAAGTAACTAGAATTTTTTTCGGCAATTTTTCTTTCATTATCTAGAGCGTCGAGAGACTAGCTGTAACCTACACCAGAAAGCCCTATGTGTCTGCCATTGACCCTAAAAATATCTAGAGGATCCCACCTCTGTACTTGAATTTCTAAAGATTTTCCTTGTGGCGCCCAAGAACCCAACGCGCGGACATTCGCGAGCCCCCAAACTTTTCGGCCGCAGAAATATTCAAAAAACGCCACTGCGCGAGAGGTGTTAAACACGATGCAGTGCCAAGGGAAGCTCTTTCGAACCACCGTGCACAATTCCGCATCGTAGTTTAATTTCAGCGAATTTTCTAGTTTCTTTGAAACAAAAACTGATGACTGAGTGTTTCGGACTCGAAGTTTCGCATAAATTAGATGCTAAATAATCTGCCAATGTAGGCCATGGATTCGAAGAAGCACAGTGGTGGCAACATCATGCAATTGTCTAAAAACCCGCAATGACTGAGGGTTTTTCAAAAATTTGAAAATTATTATAGGACTTAATGACCGAGCTTGAGACCCGATGATATCCTTGAACTTCCATTCTTTCTTTTTTCTGCACAAGCCTAGAATTCTTTTTGTATTATGATATGATAGCCCCTTGCCAGTGGGTATTGCCGGCAAAATATTTTAACTCAAAACCTTAAGTGACTGGTCGAAAAATCATAACAGCGAACTGGGCCTAAAATCGTGATATCTTCCTCCTTTTTCCGAGATGTAAACCGTTTTCTCGGAGACCAGTTGTAGGTTCGATGCGGGGGCATCTAGGCCTTACTCGGTCGCAACGGCTTAAAAAATTACCCACGCGATTTGAATAAAACGGTCGAAGAAGGGAATACGGATTTTGGAGCCTCTAAACCCATATCGACATCTTTTTGGATCGACCTAGGGAAATTTAAAGAGGCCGAGGCCAGATTTCTAGTGTTGACCAGTCTGTAGTGCAAACTTTCCTCTACAAAATTGACGCATTGGAAAAAATGGTTAGTCAAATCGGTGGGCGCAGTACTCTCGAAAACCAAAAAACCAGAATTCACGTGATGCGCGTTCTTTGATCTCTAGCTCAGCACGTTTAAGGAGTTCGACATATTTTAACCGAAAATACTAGAACATATGACCTCCACTCAGCAAAATATCGAGGCGAAACAATGCTTCTTTCCTTAAAATTTTCTGCCTCGAAAAGTTCTAGTTACTTTCCGACCAACCTAATATTATAGCTTGTTTGCGCAAAGCCACTTTGACGAACACCGGACTTTTTGGCAATATACAAAATAATATATTTGATATAAACAGTGTCTATGAAAGTTCTTGAGAGTTAGCAAAAAAGGTTTATTTCAGAAAAGGAAATTCAATAACAGACCGGGCTTTCTTCTTACTCTGCTGGTGCACGAGCTCAATCATCCTCATCGCTATGAAGTTCCGGAACATCGGGTTCCTCCTCTTTTTTGATATCGATGTTGGCTATGATGGCCGTCAGCTTGTCTTCCAGGTCACGCTGTAGTTCCGGGGCCCTTACCCTGTGTTTTGCAAAAGATATCAGGGAGTTCGAGTTTGATATGTGCTAAGCGACCAATGATCTTTTCATAGAGCTCGTCGGAAGATTCCTCTGGATTGTAAAGCTTCCACGATCCGCCCATGGGCGGTAGCTGATCCGAGGTTTCCGCCAGGCGGAAGAGCATAATGTTCTTTGCCCGAATCAGAGAACCACGCGTTTCCGGTCCAGCTGGTTGGTAATAGACGGCTTTATGGGGTTGCAGAGCCTGGGTCGAAACGGTCAAAAACATATAGACATCACTGTTTAGCGCCGACTTTGTCAGTTTGTTCTTCTTCAAGAAGATAAGGTAACGATCGATATCCCCTGATTGCTGCGGAGCCGGATTATTGCGGGTAGTCCAGTGATGGAAGTCAATCGCTCGTGCAACAGGGACGCCGAGAAGAACAACATCTGGAAAAATATCTCTTTGTCACCCTTCGGACCGACGGAGGCACTGACGCCGACGGAGCAATCCCCAACTAATCAAAAATAAGCAAGCGCGCACCATTGCTAGAAATTCTCGTCACCCGTAAGCATTTTGGCTGACCGGAATTGTTACCAGAAATCATATCGTATCTCTTAAAGGGGCTCCGAAATCTGGTCCACGGCCCCCTGCTGTGATTCCCTGGCAAATAGCCAGATGCGGCCGCAACGCGACCGCGCCGCATGGTCTTTTGCCCCTGTTTGGACGCGAAAACGCTTGAATTTAAAATTCTGATACTATTTTTGGAATCCTCAACAAATTGTGATCATTCCAGACTTTTAAATTATGAAAATTGACCAGAGAAACACCGAGATCGAGAGATTGGGTGCATTACAAGGCCTTACGACATGGAATCACCGCGCAATCAATATGTCGTTTTCGTCCCAAAAAGAATTTTTCTCAAACATTTTACGTTGTTTCGCAACGAAATCACTTTTCTGGTAGTTCTCGGCAGTGACCCTTTCGTTTTTGGACCCGTAGGTTCAATCCCCGCACGGACGAATTTTGACTTCTGAGCCCCTTTAACTACAGAGTGTGGAGGTCAGTACCCCCAATCATTGTGGGGAAACAGAATACCGATAATTGATTACGCCAGCAAGCAGATTTTTTTCGGGTTTTTCTAATGCCCGTACACTAGAAAATAAAGGAGGATACTAAAGCGTTTTAATACTTTTAATTTTATTTATTATTCATTTTAATGCTTTTAAAAACTTTTAAGAGCTTTTTTCCACCACGGCAACCCGATGTAACAAGGTTCAAATAGACGGGTGGCTTGCTCGCACAGGAACGCGGCTTTTTTGGGCAATGCTCACTAGGGAGGTATCTGAACTCGGCATCGAACTTTGAGAAGTCAGATACACCATTCGACGCGCCTTGTCGAGGGGATTCCAAATATGTAGTAAAATCAACCAGAGCCTATAACGATAAAAAGTTATGAGCATTTTAAGTTTTGCAGCGAAAACCGCCGCGGCGATATGAGCCCCTCCCAGCGCACCCTGTTCATCGGCCCCGTGGCCTAGTGGTGTGCGCATGGGTCTCCGGCCTGTATGACCAGGGTTCGGATCCACTCACGATTTTTATTTTTTGCTTTTTGACCAAAACCTACTTTTTGCATTTCCAAACTCGGGAATAAGTTTTCTTGACTGTGTGACCCCTAAAGGCACCAGCGATGATAAAATAACCTCGGGCAACAAGACCAGGGTTGGACGCTCTCTATATCAAAGTTAGCAAAATCATCAAAAACCGCCCTTTTAAGACTCTGTACGACTTCGAAGAATGTAATTTGTCGAAAACAGAACAGTACATCTTGATCAGCAGAAAATTCCCTTTCGAATGGGCTATCTTACATAGGCTTTACGCGAAATTCTCGAAACGTCTTCGGCAAGCTGGCCATACTCTACCCTTACGCCGCATTGCAAAAATATTTTTTACGGAAATTTTTGGCAGCCGTATGTAACATAGCTCATTTGAAAGAGCTTTCTTTGTTGAACAAGGAGCACTAATTAGTTTAGACTAAATTCCATTCCGCGGGATGATACAGGGTCTCAAAGATACTGTTTTTCACCATTTTGTCGATTTTGAATGCTCATAACTTTTTACGGTTATACGCTCTGGTTGATTTTATTACATATTTGGAATCCCCTCGACAAGGCGCGTCGAATGGTGTATCTGACTTCTTAAAGTTCGATGCTGAGTTCAGATACCTCCCTAGTCAGCTTTGGAAAATCCATAAATCCCATCTCACATCAAATCACTCAAAACACTGAGGAGCGATTTACACCGCGGAGATACCGGAATTTATCCATGATCCGAAACTCAGGTAAAAAGTTACTTTTATCGATGCCGAGCTCCTTTAACTCGCTTTCGAGCCATTTTTCGTAGCATCCTTCGCGTAGAGGCAAAGTATGCATGGTGCGATGATAGCATACAAAAAGCGTATCCTGGAAAAAAGAATGTTACATTATGTACTGGATGTGGAGATGTTATATTGGAGTTCTCCTTGCCCCAACCGTATAAAATCTCAGGCCCAGCTAATCTTTCTCTACCGTATAAGCCAATGAACCCTGAATGCCTGCTAGTTAGAATCGAAAGATCAACTTGTTGGCATGAACGGCTCTTGCTAAATGCTCAGATCGTCCCTGGCGCGGTATTTCAGACCCCCCTATAGCTGAACCATTAGAATTAAAAAATAAATCCCAACTCGTTTTAAATCGGGAAATATTGGCTTAACACGGCTCACATCCATTTTTTCGAAATCACTAATTCGAAGGCCATTATTTCGACAGTCATATTCTCAGAAATCAGAAATTGCGTTGCTATTTCTTGCTTGTTGAAAATATGACTTTTGGAAATTTGTCCGAATGTCCGAATCCGAATTTCCGAATGGTAGCTGATCGTCTTTCCGAATTTCGTAAAACTATGATTTTCGAAAATATCGAAAAATCTAAATACCCCTAGTCCTGTAAAAAGGGGAACTTTACCTTATATTTGAGCCAGCAGACGCCGATCCTCATTGTGGGTTGGCTGTCCTTATTGACAGCTATGGTACATGCTTCCGGCGCTAGTGCTACGTCGCCCAGCCTTTTTTTGTTAATAATGAGCATGTTGGGAGGATGCGAAGTATTCCAAGCGTCGTGATTTGCCTCATCTTCCTCATTGTCCGTTGGGAAGCCCGTCAGCTCCGGGGTATGCACGTCAAAATTTCCGCCGTCCTTGTTAAGTTTTTCCTTAATTTTGGCTACATTATTAGCCACGTCTTTTGTTTTCGGAGAGAAGGCGTTAACAATGAAAGCGATTTCAACATCTCCTTCCACCATAACTTGCTTTAGCTTGTCTAGCTTGAGCCCTTTTTGCATGTCGAAATAATTGACGTTCCAAACGACCACTGATTTCCCGCGCATCGTGTCGACGGTCGGTTGAGCATTCACCATTCTGAAAAGTCCTTTTGAATAAAATAGGTTGGACTGGCTTTTTTAAGTGACGGAATGAGCTTGTGCTATTTAAAGTGGATTATGGCATAACCAAATCGACACTATGTCACGGTGTTTCCGTATTTACTCGGACATACCCGTTTAAAATGATGATGAGGATGAGGGGGCGCAGTTTCAGGCGCATTTTTCGAGTTTGGCAAAAAGACCAGTGCTTAGCTTAGAAGGGGTTACAGTTTTTTCAATTACAGTGCCGTGGAGTTTTATTGGTTAGGCAGGGTGTCTCGCAAAAATACCCAGCCGGCATTCGCCGCCTATCTTCCAATCGGCCCAAAATCGGACCAGAGGTATTTCAGACCATAAATAACAAAAATCCTGACATTCAGCCCCCACAGCTGCAGTAGACCTTCAGTTACGACCCTTAAACATTAAGTGAAATGATTCGGCAAGCGTTTTTCACCTTAGGAAATTTTTTCCGAATTAAAATTAATCCATAAACTCGATTTCAACGATTTCTACAACGCGATTTAGCAAGATCCCGGGCGGAATAATGGATTTACAGCCGGAAGTCGCAGCAAATCCCTGCAAATGCCAAAAAAGGTAGCCAAAAACAGTCTAGAAGTCGGGGAAAAAACATTTTCGTTATAACTCGAAAAAGCCTGGACATAAGGCTACCAAATTCCGGCTGGGGTTATTTGTGTGGGGCACCCTGGATTACGTACTCCCTATTAGAGGAAGTACGGAAGTAAAGAGATAAAGTAGCAAATCAATACAAATCCCATATTTTACAATTAGACATCGATCACGAAATAGTGCATCAAAGATGCAATCAGGTGTGGGAAACTGAATTAGGTATCAAATTCTTGGAAATTTGGTGCCGGCGGTTATCAGGTATCAAGTTCCTTATAAGCTCAGTGTTTGTCGATACAACGCAATAAAGCCGTTGGCGTCTTTTTTCCTCAGGATCAAGCTCTAGTTATATAAGCGGAACCACGGCACACCACGGCACCGATCTAGCACCTAGCCGAAATATTAGACTTGAACAGGGTGCCCCCATAAAAAAGACCCTCCCCTTTGGCGGTCCATAGTCATGTCTGATTTTTACGATTTAGACATCTGATTCTGAGTATAAGTTATGTTCTCTCCGATTTTTGAAATTCCCGAATTTTTATAAAATTTACTAACATTTTTGCGAAATTGGACCAATTTTCGATGCTTTGCCCATGCAAGTGTTTTTAACAAAAACGCCATTTTCCAAATTTTGACACCTTTCCTGGCAGCCCAATGTCGTCTTTTTGTAAGCCATCTGAGAAAACACAGCTTGAATGGGACTGTAACCGATTAAATTGAATTTTTGCCAAAAATTGCGTAATTTATGCCCAAAAAACGATAAAAATCGCGTTAAAAATTCGGGACATTCACAAATCGGAGGAACCATATGTCCTCAGCTCGTCGAGAGCTTCGATAGATATCTAAATCGTCAAAATCAGACATGACTGCGGGCCGCTAGAAGGGGCGTTTTTGTGACACCCTGTATGTGCCCCGAACCGTTTTCGTCTCACAGCCGGTCTGAAAAAGCTGGCTGACAGCGCATTTCGTAGAAGTGATGCTTTAGCGTGGCCGTCGTGCGTCCATTGAGGTAATTTGAAATTTCGAGTCAAAATCTAACCTTCATTTACTTTATCCGAAAGATATTTGAAAACAAGGTGTTATAATTAAGGCAGCTGAGAGCTAACATTAAAAAGATCAGAAAAACCCAAACCTGAATTCTGGTCGAATGCGAGGTGCCAAAAAGTGGGCGACGCTTTTTCTACACCACACATGCTCATTATCACAAAAAGCCTAGGCGCAATTTTGGGTTAACGATAGGCGAAGGAGGCGTGCCGGGCGTAAAAGGAACTCAATAAAAATGCCTAGGCGCAAATTTGGGTTAACGATAGGCGAAAGAGGCGTGGCTGGCGGGCATAAAAGGCAGCTAGTAAAAATGCATAGGCGCAATTTTGGGTTAACGACATAGGGAGGGAAGCGTAGCGTGCTTAAAAAACCCAGATAAGACAGCTTTCAGCCTGGGCAAATTGCTTTCCAGGATCTAATTATTGCCGGGATCAGGCCAGCGGGCGAAAACTTTCATTAAAGCACATTTAAATCGTTTGGCAAGGAGTGGATTCTTGTTAATGTCATGCTAATGCTCATGCTCATGCTGGCAGCAAAACAACACCATCATCTTATTCATCAAAGCTCAAGCCACTTGCACCAAAAAGGAAAGCAGGAAAACAACATTAAAAGGACAAGGCCATTCAATTTCATTCAAAAATAACTGGTCCAAACCAATATCCAAATCGGTTAAAAATTATCGCGAAAAGCTTGCAATACAAGCGATCTTGGGAATGGAAGTGATTTTTGGTCGTGTCAAGGCACAAAAAATCTTAATAATACTGAACATTACAGTTTAAAACAATTTAATATTCCGGGGGTTCATCCTTGAGGCTGACTTCTTTAATTCGGTCGATGGCAGATTCCAAAATGCTCCACGGCCGTGATACTGTATCAACTTCTTTCAACCGAAAGAGAATCGGATCGTTCTTAAATTCTTCGCCCATCCGTTGGGTGAATACTTCGTGGTGGACTTGCACTTGGAAGTCCTGCGCGCTCAACAAGAAACAGTTCTGGCGGTGGATCCATAGATTGGTGAGACAATTATCTTCAATTAAGTCAAGGAATGGTTTGACGGCTTCTTGATCTTTGGGTCTGATTGCAGTTTTCCTCTGCAAGTCTACTTCACGACCTTCAAGCCAACCGAGCAGGAAGATTCCTGAAAAGATTTGCTATCAAAGTGGCAAATTTTCTTATTGTCAAAATTTTAGAATGTTGACATTCTGCATTGGAATTTTATATTGCCGAAATTCGGAATGTGCAAATTTCATAATGTCGAAATTTCATAATACCGAATTTTTCTAGATACAAATCTCCAGGAAAAGCCCCAAAGAAAAGAACCCAAGGTTTGGGCTATGGTAATTCGAATTAAAATTTACGAATTTCGACATTTTGAGTTTCGACATTTTCATATGTTTCAAAATAAGCCCTGATAGCCATGAGGAAGAATTAAGCCACTATTTAGAAAACTTACCTTTAAGATCTTTCGAATGCTCGACGGTCTCGGCTAGCCATTTCCTGAACCGGTCAGAAGACAGCTCTTCTTCTACCCGACAGCCGGCCACGCAAATGAAGAGCACCTCCTAAGCAAACTTTTTTGTGCGTTGCCACCGTTTTTTATCATTTCTTCACTTAAAAAGCTTATGAGGTTCACTGGAAAATATAAAAAATTTAGGTTTTTCACGAAAAATGACCGATATTTTACCAAAAGTCCAAATTTTTCAAAGCGAGTTCTAAGTTTTCAGCCTATCATAATTTTTCCACTTAAAATACTACTGAAATGAATTTTATCGAAAACTAATGTGAAGTCTGGCTGTTACCAGGCATTTTGGACTTAAAAAATACGATAAGGTTTGGGCCTTTTAAGTGCACAAAAAAGTCTTAGGTATACCGACTCACCTCCCACACCAGATGGCAGACACTGGCCGGAAAGGGCAAGTCGTCAACCTCTAGCGTGCATGCAGTCATTTCCAAGAAATCCGTCCCATTCCAGTATTTGTTATAGATCACCATAATGTTCGACGGAGTCTTTTGTAGTTCTTTGAATTTAGCAATATCCCTTCGAATGAATTGAGAATCCGTCGTGAAATTCTTGTTCTCGGGTACGACGGGGAAGAAGCCGCATGACTTTGCGTTTCCCATCAGCTCCTTCCGGATCACATGAGCCTCATCTTCGGGCTCGCCAAAGTCGTGAAGAAGGAAAGCCAAATAAACGCCTTCCAGGATGCTCTTCAGCGCGTTGCACAATTCTGCTGTGACGGCTGTTTGATCACGAATGTCCCAAATCACGACTCGCTGCCCATGGGCGTAGAAGATTTTTGGCGCTTTTTTGGGGGGTGCCCGGGCTGGAGTTGGCATCCTAAATAGTAACCATAACGGTAATAATAACTTCAATTACCTTAAAATTGAGAAAAATAAAGAAAAAACAACCAAGGAAAATTTATAAAGTTTCTAGAATATTAATTGGTTGTCTTGAATACAAATAATTTACAAAAGTAATTTCTACAAGCAGCTGTATGCAACTAACTACGTCAAAGTTCGTATGACAATAAATAAATTATAGAATAGATGGTAACACCGCCAAGTTACTTAAAAAACTCAATTTTTTGGTTGTTGTTCAAACATACTTTCTTTAAAAAGTGTATTAATTATTTAAAACTATCAAAAAAAAATATAAATATTTTACTAAAAACTACTTTACTTTTTACTTGAAAGAAAAAGATAATGAAAACCAAACAAGAAAAAGATAAGATAATGAAAGGTTAAATTAGCACTTGGCGCACCTATTTTCGGAGAAACTATTAAGCGTTGAGACGGAAAAATTGGATAATCTTCTTGCCCCGGTAATTACCACAGCTCAACCCCTTATCAGCTATTTCCGAGACCTTTGGTAAGTAATTCACCGCAATTTTTGACAGCTCAGCGATGAATCATTGATTCAGGGTTATCTTAGGCGTCCAGCGCCAAAAAACATTAGCCTGAGACGATAAAGAAGCCTAAAAAATTAATAAGAACCAGAAAAGCATGAGGACGCTCGATAAGGCGACTTTTTTAATATTGACCGATCGTTTTTAGATGCAAGCGCGAGCTCAAAAGGACACAAAGGAGGGTGGGATAACGTGGAAAAGATAAGGCGGGTCTAGCAGGCGTAGAAGACCGGAAGAGTGGTTTTCAAGATATACTGGCGGAGTGGTGAACTCTGGGGGAGAAGCGGTGAGGTGACATTTTCTCGCGGAAGCTTTTCATTGTTTCGTATGCTTCGTGGGCCTAGGCTTACGTGAGATTTCACAAGAGTTCTTTCGTAAATGCTTACGAGATTTTTTAGGAACCAGGACAAACAATTCATAAGGTTTCGAATTCTGGTGTTACAGATCAATTGAGACGCTTTCAAGTTAAAAAACGTTGAAAATCCGTCTAAAAACGGGGTGTGTTGACGAAGTGATACGGTAAAAAGCACGTTATCGTTCGGTTTAGAATCCAATTCAGACCAATTTTTGCGAAATTCAAATTAATTAAAAAATTAAAAACTGAAAACAACTCGGACGAGATGTTTCAAAGAGATGTTTTTTAAATGTCGCAGTCGTTTAATCTTAACCTAGGTATTTACAGGCAATAAATGTACGCTATAAGAATAAAACCATTTATGCAGGATTGAATTCAATTAACGGATCGACAACCCGAATGCCCAATTTTTCTTGCTGGGTCCTCAGATTTGCAAGGAACTTCTTGCGCTGTGTTTTCAAGGTCCATTCCGGTCGATGGGAGCAGATTAGCATCTAGAACGCTTGGAAAGCTGATACTTCTGAAAAATCGCTACCCTTTGCTCCGGTAGATACTTCATCAAGAAGCACGATGCGAAATATTTTGAGAACAGTTTGCGTATCTGAACAAAGACGATGCAATACCTGTGAAATTCAAATACCTCTTCCTCTTTGAAATCGGGATTCTCGTAAGCTACGATATTCGCGACGAGACCGCCTAATTTTGGTGATGTAAGATAACATAACTATCATTACCTGTAGGATTGACGATCTGTGCCATTGTCGATATTGTTTCTTCATTCCGGAAACCCTCAATCGGACAAATGACCACATTTTTCTTATCGTTAGAGCATGCGTCGAGGACGATAAAATCATATAATTCCCCTGAAAATTGGTATCAAAATACGTGAACATTAAATTCTAGCTTAAGCTCACTGAAAAACGAAACTTATGCTTACAAAGGCTTGTAATGGGTTGTAGTTTGTAGTTCCAGTTAGTAAACTAGAAGAAAACCTCAATAAAAGTACAAAAAATAAATCAATAACCCGGAGGACCAAAAAAGAACGCTAAAAAACATCAACAATGCTTCTAGGATGTTAAGGTAGACCTAAGAGTCTTGAAGCAAAGCTCACAAGTCCTCAACTCAACATTTCGCTTAATGCCTTAAGAAACCACGTAATACAAACGATAAAATCTACCTCTAGCTAACGCTTCCTTAGCATAAACAATCCCATCCGTAATCTCAATCCGATTCGACTCTGTTGGCACATAACCGTAAAATTTCTTCGCCACTTCGACCATGTCGGGATCGATTTCGACGGTTAGCACGTCAATCTGGAGGTGTTTAATGCATTGGATTATAATATAGACATTTTTATTACTTACCTTTGCCTTCGGAAATTGAAAAAGATAATTCTGCATGGCACCACCGCCCAACCCGAATGCGATAACTTTATTGTGACTTCTCGTGAAGGATAAGGCCTGAAAACAAGAGGTAGTGAGAGAGAGAAAGAAAGAGAGAGAGAGACAGAGAGAGAGGAGACAGAGAGAGAGATTTCTGGTTTTACCTCTATCATATACCCGCTAGCAATCATCACCATCACATACGGCGTTATCAACGTTTTGCGATCGATATCCCAAGTAGCGCTGTTTGCATTGTCATCCGTTAAGAAATCTATAAAAATAGAACCCTAACATGTAGAGGTTGTCAGGTCACAAGCTCCAAACCGGCTGAAAATTGGTGGAGAAATCAAATAAAATACGGGGAACACGATACGATAAAAATTATCTGCTAATGGGCACTTTTGTTTAATAAACTTTTAATTTTAAGATTTTGTATGGAAAACCCACGTAGAATCGCAGCGAGCCTGGCCAGAACCGGGGCGCGCAGGCGCGAGCTCTTGAAGCCTCCCCAAGGGCCCCCTCCCGCCGGTCCGGTGGTGTAGGGGTAGGGTGCTGGCAATAATAGGCCAAAGGTCACGGGTTCGGTTCCCGCGTTTTTTCATTTTTTGCTTTGCCGTTTTGCTTTATTTTGTAGGGAGGCGTCTAGAATAGTTTTTATAAAGTTTTCGGTCCTATTAATCAGTTGCGGTCGCCTCAACAAAAAAAAAATTACAAAATGTTGGAAGTTTTTGCAAAAAAAGGCCTACGTACCTATTCCGACTCCATGAAAATCGACAGGATGGTTAATACAGATTACTTTTTGCACTGGTATTGTCAAGAAGCAGTCATTATCGGAATCTGGAATCTTTGGGCTCTGATTTTAAACACCTGGGGCCAGAACTAACTATTTTAAGCAGCTGCTTCCCCACCTAGCCGGCCAAAGCTATGCGATAGGTCGTCAAAAATTTCGGGGAAAAAATTTTTTCAAATAAAATTTTTTTCCGGGTGTGGGAAAGTATCTAGTGTCGTACTTTCCCTGGCAATTCGATCGAAACATTTATTCCGAGACGGAAGGCCCGGTTAATCCGCTGAAAGTCCATTTTACCTTCATTTTTCTGACTTAAAATTAAAAGTTTATTAAACAAAAGTGCCCATTAGCAGATAATTTTTATCGCATCGTGTTCCCCGTATTTTATTTGATTTCTCCACCAATTTTCAGCCGGTTTGGAGCTTGTGACCTGACAACCTCTACATGTAAGCTTGAAGTTAAAGGGCTAGTTCAACTTTTAGAGCTTGGGCTGGTACCTTGGGAAACTATGGACGTTGGCACAGTGTGCCCGAACAGTCCCCCATTACTACAGCTATTAGAGATCGGGGAAATGAGAGGGCGCAGACAAAAAAGCACAGAGGGTTCGACTCCTGGCCGCGGAAATTCTTTTTTTATTGGCTGAACTAGCCCTTTAAGCAAGCTAAAACAATTAAAAATTGTTACTTACCTGGTACAACTAACATAGCCTGCGACAGGGAAGCCGTTTGAATTTTGTCGGGCACGATGTCGCGTTGGACTTTTAGGCTAAAAGGTAAAGTTGGAGATTTTCTAATTTTACTACAATTTTTTCTAGAAAACTCACTTTTCTCCATGCCTATACGCTCGATCGACGACTTTATAACAATCACCCATACCACCACAAAACTCGTGAATTATATTCTGGCCTTGTTCGATGATCTCCTCCTCGATTTCGAGCGCTCTAAAGGTATCTTAGTTTTTTCGTGTCACGTAATTAGTCTACCTTCTCCTATCCGCTACCTGATTCCTAAACAAAGCCCGAAGGTCTACATCGAACCCGTCAGTGACGATGTACTAAAAAAAGGTATGTTAAGGAATTTTTTATAAGGCTTCAAAACTTCAATTTTGCAAGATTTTAAGGCTTTAAAATTAAAATTTAAAACTGGAAAACCAAAATTTTAATTTCAAGTTTTTTTCTTCGTCCAGTGCTTCAAGAAATGTGCTTAAAAATTTTGAAGCTTAAGGACATCTGATTTTTAGTGAAAACCGAGTTAAAACACGAATTATACACCCACCGCCACATACGCGATAAAAGCCGCCGACAAAAAGTAGAAGCGTGCCCCGAAAGTCGCCATCCCGGAAGCCGATATTCCGAAAATCGAGCGGCCTATGGATTTTGGAGATGACAATGGGATGAGTGGGGCTTATGACTCTCGTCGATATGCCCATATTCTATCGAATTCCATCAAATAGGGCCCTCGCTGGATCGAGGCTTCATTCTATTTGTTCAGCCATTTCCCCCCAGTGGGGCCAACATCAAAAGTCGCTTCGGGGCGGGCTTGAAACAACGAGAGAGGGCGGATCTGAATCATGGTATTTGATAGGGTTGTATTTCCGGAAAATGACAAGAAAAAGGAAAAAAAATCTTAAAATGGCTCTTCAAAAAAAGATAGGCGGTCAAGTCATGCTAATGCTGCTACTGATAAAAAGTTCAAGTTACGTTAATTGCGCGATAATTCTCGAAACAAAAAACCGCCAAGTAAAGATTTCAGAAAAAACTACAAGCAGTGAGCTCAAAATCGATTTTTCAGACAGCGTGAATTATATGTTCTAATGCCCCGTACCACGTATCGATTTTGGTAAGTACCTGATGCAATCTTAAAAATTAAACTACAAAGCTCATAAAATTATCGAGGATTCCAATAATGGGGCCTTAAATGGCGTGAAACAGGTTTCCTGGCCCCTTTAACAATGCCTATAGATACTAAATTCGAAATTCGGTAAACTATAAGGACGTAATTAGGTTGCTAATAAGTTGCTATTTTTAATCCGCATTTTGTTATTGACAGAGATGACTGTCTATTTTCTATCGTTAAAATACCGAATCATAGAAACCTCACAAAAAAGGGTTGAGCTAAAAATTCACTTCAGCAGACACCAAACGTCGCAAGAAAATGGGATAGTTCGGCGAAAATAGCCTGAATTAGTTTTCGCTTGCGGGCCACGTAAATAAGCGTCGACCATAAGTGGCCAATTTGGTATACGACATGGCGGATCCAAACAATCCAGATCAAGATTGCATTTTCATTTTTTTGAATAGCATGGAGTCATTATGAGGACAATAGGACAAATTTCCTTTTGTAAACCTCTTTGGAAAAAGGGAAGGTCATTATTACTTTCAAAGAACATTTTGATAAGCTGGAATGTGGCCAAAGCTAAGCCAAAGCGCAACCTTGAAATCCAGAACCTACAACCCGGAATCTCAACAAAATATATGGAACACGTAAAGCCCGCCGTCTCCGCGCGTGTATGGCAGCGGAAATGCCATTTGGGCCTTCCTTGAGGCCCAAAGGTGGAAAGGGACGGAAAAGGCGGCCTTGGAAGTGGAAAGCCCGGCCGTGTGTTGCATCGATAATTCCACTTGGGTCACCCCAGGCTGCTTCTTCTTCTTCTGGGGGGCTCTGGTCTAATAAGACGACCTGGCGGGGGGGGCGTTAGGGCTCCAAGGGTGATGTGGGTTAAAAATTGGTGAAAAATCTGCTCCATGCTGAATAGATACAGAGATATAGCCAGAGAGAGAGGGAGAGAGAGAGAGAAAGAGAGAGAGACAGAGTGAGCGAGAGAGAGATGATTCCCTTTCAGCGATTTTTGGGGAGCGATAATAATCAGTAATCAGTAAAATGACAGGGATTAAGCGATATTGAAAATCGTGCACCTTTAGGGAGACGTTGTGTTTTTTGCTAGTTTTTGTCCACCTGCCAGTTGTTCAGGCGTCTACCGTCCGACCTGTGCATTTTTTCGTCCCGCTCTATCTCGCTTTCGCTCCCTCTACTCCCCCTTTCACTCTCTCACTGTCTCTCTCACTGTCTCGCTCTCGCTCTCTCTCTCCCTCTCTCTCTCCCTCTCCCCCAAAACCCGTCATAAGCGAATTAAGGAGAGTTGGACATGTGTTTGTCTGTCTCTCCCCTCTCACCCCCTTTCCGTTGCTTTTTGCTTCTTTAGGACCCAAGTGAGCACAGTTGTTCCTCCTCCTCCTCCTCCTCTTGCTCCCCCTGGTGGGCCTCCCCGGTTGAAGGTGAGAGTCCCAACACACAAGCCCGCCAAGAAAGAAATACACCAGCTTGGCCTGTGCGGCCCCGGGTCGGATCGATGTAACCCGGTGCTAATCGCTCAACCTGCTTAGCGTTCCGATCCATAATTTGTGATTTTATCATCTATTGAGTTAATGAATTCGTTTAAGTATATATATATTTGGGTCTTTTTACTATTTTTCGATATGTTTTTGCCGTGTTTCCCTTGCCCGACACAGACTCTAACAATTCCTTGCCAAAAACACCATGCAAGGCTATTAATCTGCCTTTTTGGGCGCTCATAGTGGGCGAATTTCCGCCATATACCCGTCCATTCAATTTGTGACATTCCAAAATGCCGACTTCCGAAATTCTGAACCAGATATAATACCGACAGCCAGGATTCCGGAATGACGTTAACAAACACTGGCGAGTATTTTAAAGATATTCCTATTAAATTCTATTTGAATATTTTTCGATATTTTGTACTGTCGGGATTATGGCTTCAGAAATTGTTGGTGTCGGCACTTTGCGCTGTCGGGATTTCGGGCCCGGATTATGAGCTATCGGGGTCTTGGACTGTCAGGATTACGGGAATATGCTTTCGAATTTTCGCTGTCGGCGTTTTAAACTTTCGTGAATTTCGGCTGTCGCCATTTTGAATGTCTAAGTTTTGGCGTTTTTCCATAAAAGGCAACGTTCTTTATTGGTTCGGCTTTTCCCATTTAACGATACCGGATCAATTTATAACAATTTTTCACTTGAACGGTTTTGCAGGCCAAAAAAGTCGGCTAGAAAACCAAATCGCCCGCTTTTTCCAGAATCTCTTAAACCTTATATCCTAGAAGTAACTAAAAAAAAACATAGCTTAGGTAACCCGCCGCCAAGCTGGCGCCATGCCGCACGTGGAGCCGAAATTCGAGTTGGCGTTCAGGAGAACACTGTTCTTTTTTGTACTCATCCTCGTCTACTTGATCCTTGGAGCTTCCGCACTTTCACTATTGAGGCCACCACGACATGATAAGGTACTTTCTCGTGTGATAAAATTTGTTTACATGCAATTACAGGGTTCGCTCGACAAAATTGAGCGAATCGATGTGAAACGTGCGGAGTTGCTGAACGTACTCTGGGCCGAGACATTGGCCAAATCAGAAAATGATTGGGAGGAGATGGCGAATCAGAAGATGGAGGCTTATGAAAAGGTAAGAATTCGTAGTATAATTCCAGCTGTTTACAAGTGATGATGGCAGGTGTTTTGTTTCAAAGAACCGTTCTTTGCTACGGCCATTCTGAATTTAGGTTTTTCTTTTCTCTTTTCTTGGTTTCGATACGTGGATTTTTCTACACAGCAAAAAGCTTGGATTAACCGTAAAAAAGGTGCCTAGGAGTCGGATACGCTACGCTATGTAACGACACGCACCCTCGTCATCGATAGCTCTTTGTATCTCCCGCTCTCTACGCTCCTCTCTCACCCTCTATCTCTCACCATCTTGCTCGCTCTTCGTTTTCTTTTTCATTACGGTATTTTATACGCTTTTCTTCAAAAAAGCGCGCAAGCTAGTCAGAGAACAAGAGAGAGAGAGAGAGAGAGAGAGAGAGAGAGAGAGAGAGAAAGATCTATAATCTCTATTTTATTCCAGACCCTCCTTACCAGCGCCTCATCGTTCGTCGAACAACGCGACTTCACCTTCTGGGGCCATTTTGAGCGCGCGTTCTCGATGATTACCACTATCGGTAAAGATCATACCTGGCAGATATCATTATTGCACTGATTTAGGCCCACTCGACTGCCGAGAGTTATCAACACTCGGCAAGATGTTCTGCTTTGTGTATTCGCTACTTGGAGTACCACTCGCGTTACTGTATCTGTCGCATTGCAACAAAATGGCCGCTTGCTTGTGCTCATCGGTAGGAGTGTAAAATTTATGTATTCTTCACATTTATCTTAAGGTTACACTTAACCAATGTTATGTATCTTCCAATTTATCGTGTTTACAATTGAATAAGTTATTTAAAGCAGCTATCAAGTACGGAAACGATTTTTAATCTAGCTTTGTATATTTATAATTAAGCCATCTATATGGCTAGATATTAAAATCAGGTTGTAGCGCGTATTCTAATCAATTTGGCTCATTTAACGTAGGGCAAAGTTAAACCAAATCCTTTAATTCCTAAGAACCCAGATTTTTCAGACGAAAATCTTCCTCTCCACCTTCAGCCTAATTTTTGTGGGCGCGGTGGTGTACGACATCGTCGAGCAGGGCAGCGATGATACGGTCGGAACCCTTTTTCATTAAGTTTTAAATTTTTTGCTTTTAGCCATTCATCGACGCCTACTTCAGCGTGTTCCTCCAATTTTCAACGATAGGGGAGGAGGACCCGAGAGTACGGTATGTTCTCACGTTTCGATAGATCTCATTTAACGCTGTTTAGAGGCATTTTCACGTACATTTTATGCCTGGCGGGACTGTCACTAATGTCGGTGACATTTATCGTGATTCAACAAGAGGTAGGTGAACTTTTTGAGCACGTTGCGCCTGCAGGGCGTCTTCAATAAGAAGAACAAATTTTATTTTGAGATTGAAAAACGAACAGCGTGGTTCGAGCTGCAGTTCTCATTCCTATTCGGAAGAGCCGAGCGGTGGGCGACCGAGAACAAACCGCGGAGTATGGATCGGGTAGAGGAGGAGGAGGTATGTTGGGGAGTATGAGTTTTTCTCAAGGATTTTTTGCTAGCGTGCCTCGTTCGAAAAGAACTTCCTATCCTTGAAGCAGCTTTAAAAATATTTGAAGTTCCAAGGGTTTTAGGTTAAAATATCGCTGCCAGCTTGCCCCTCTTTCAGGCTATAACATGTTTTCGTGTTTCTGATTTTTTTGGCCATAAAAATTCCGCAAATGGCTACTGCTAGCTTGCCCTCCTCAAGTAAATAAACTCAAATTGGGGTGCTTTTATGGAACAATATTCTCAATTCTTCCCTAGATCAAAGTCCCAAATCTCCGCTGCCAGCCTGCCATTGTCATTCAATTTTATCGCTTTTATCTGTGATACCTTATTTTCAGGAAGAAGAAGAGGACGATGACTATTGACTAAACGTTCTCCACTGTAATCGAGAAACTACAAACTACAAAATGTCTAGGATTTTCTGAAGGAATCTCATTTTTTGGCTGCCAGCTATACCAAACTCGTGTATTTCCCTATGTCACTGCCATTTAATAAAGATATATTACGTATTATACCATGTATTATACCACGATTTATTCAATCAATTTTTGTGTTACTCAAAAAAATGCATTTTTGGCGAGATCATTTAATCACAAACACACACCAAAAACAACATGGGAAGGTTCTGGAATTTACATACAAGTCATCAGAATTAAAAAATAATGGGGCAAATTTGGTGGGACTTATGAATTACCGAAAAACTGGCCCGTTTTTGAGCAACAACCTGTACAGGAGGCGAGATTACAACCGGCAAGGTACAAAAACAAAAGCATGACAATCGAAAAAATCAGAAATTGGCAAGAATTAGCATAGGTATTGGAAAAATTGATTTTGGCAAGGAATAAATTGAGAAAACGACACCGGTCAGGGGAAAGAAGCAAGGAATTTGTGTTAATCGGAGAATAAGGAATAGAACATAACTACAAACTACAAATTTTGGGCGGGCTGCGGCCAAGAAAAAAATGGAATTGGGAGGGTTTCAGGACTTATCAAAATTATTTAAATTGAATTGAATGGAATTATTAATTTTTTTAGAGAATTTATAGCAGTAAGATTTTTTTATTTTAAGTTTGAAAAGACATTTAAATAGGTTGAACGTTTGAAAATGATATTTTTAAGCAAAACTACGCGACAATTCCATAGATGCTTGGAAAGATCAAAATAAATCGTTGTTGTTGTCAATGTTAAAAGTAATTAAAGCTTTAGACACTTGGCAGAATTTAAATCTTATATATATTTAAAAGAATTTTTCGCTTCGTTTACTAAAATAAAAAAGGACTGAAGAATTTTGAAATTCAAACTGTTTAAGCCCGTTTTTGAAAATCGAGCGACTTTGAACCCTCTAAACTCCAAACACCAAGCTACAGCCTCCCATCGATTAGCATCGATTACGCCATGAAACTCAAGAACTGAGCAACCGCTGGTGCTCCAACTGCTGCAACATGGCATTCTTCTCGTAGTCCCAGCAGTTTGAGCTCCCATTCCGGACCGTATTCGCTGTAGAGGCGTACGTGCGGATCCTGGAAATGTGAATTTTATTAAATTTGCATGATCAATCAAGCAGACGTAACGTTTTGACACCCAACGCTCGACACGGCCCGGACAGAGTGGAAAATTTGCATAATTTGAAAATTCGGGTTTTTAAAATACTAGATCTGGGATTTAAGAATGTTGTGAATTTATCATAATTGTTTATAGTTGCAGCCTAAATTCTTATAGGCTTAGGTTCAAACTTAAGCCTGGGTGAGAGCAAGGCCTAGGCTTAGGTTTCGGCCTAGACAGATTTAGGCTTAGGCTTAGGCTTAGGCCTTGGCTTCGGTCCTGGCTTAGGGTTAGCCTGCGGCTTAAGCTTAGACTAAGCTTCGCTTGGGCTTTGCTTAGGCTTCGCATAGGCTTCGCATAGGCATAGCTTAGGCTTGAGACTTACAAGGGGATGGTCTCAGCTCGGAATCGAATTTCTATTTGAAAATTTGCACATTGATAGAGCTCGACGAGACGAATCGATTGGTGTAACTTTCAGCAGCAGATACCCCGAACTAACAAAGTTATAAGCATTTTAAGTTTTTGCATACATTTTGCCTTTTTCACCCTACCTTCATAGGCCCTCCCCCTTCCCCCATCGCCGTGGTCTGGTGGCCTAGTGGCGTAGTTGGCGGCGTATGGGGAATCTAACGAGGGTTCGAACTCGCTCAAGATTTTTATTTTTTGCTTTTTTATCCGAAGATTCCTCTTGGCCTTCTAAAGGCCTTCAATAACTTTTTAGGCATGCAGTATACACCAGGAGGCCTTGCCAACAATAAAGCAGCCTTGGAAAAATTCAAAGTTTTGTCCCCATGGTTTGCCAACCTTGCCTTGCCAACTTACAAAATTTCCAAAAATTTTAAGTAGTGGATTTTTTGCTGCGAGCGCTTCCTGGTGTATACTGCATGCCTAAAAGTTATTGAAGGCCTTTAGAAGGCCAAGAGGAATCTTCGGACAAAAAAGCAAAAAATAAAAATCTTGAGCGAGTTCGAACCCTCGTTAGATTCCCATACGCCGCCAACTACGCCACTAGGCCACCAGACCACGGCGATGGGGGAAGGGGGAGGGCCTATGAAGGTAGGGTGAAAAAAAGGCAAAATGTATGCAAAAACTTAAAATGCTTATAACTTTGTTAGTTCGGGGTATCTGCTGCTGAAAGTTACACCAATCGATTCGTCTCGTCGAGCTCTATCAATGTGCAAATTTTCAAATAGAAATTCGATTCCGAGCTGAGACCATCCCCTTGTTAGGCTTAGGCTTAGGCTTGAGCTTTATAAAGTTTATTACCCCTGGATTATGCTTTTTATAAGTTTTTAATAGGCGCAGAACTAAAAATCCAACATCGGAAATTTGATAAACAACTCAGGCAAAACGAAATATTAGTCTTGTTCCACATGCATAACACGATTTCCCGACCAAAAGTGAAGACATGCTTTTTGTTAAGACAGGATAGTTGAACTTAAAAACATCCATCTTCCGAAATTTCACACCCATCTCCTTGCACCTCCAAACCCACTTTCAGTGTTTTTTGAGCACTTTTGGGCCATTCCCAAACATTCCCAAAATGGCAGACAAATATTGGTGTTGAATAGTGCAACATTCCTCTTCTGACACTCAGAGTGCGCTGAACCAGTCGCCAGACCTGTCAATGGCAGCATTCCAATATGCAAATAGAAATCGTAAATAGTTGCCGTCCGGATTTGGGACATTCGTCAGTTTTTTGGCTAACTGATCGTTGATTAGCTACCCCTTTTGAGGTCAGTTTCGAAATAGGCAAAGTACGAATGGTTCCTGTTTACGAAAAATAATTTAGATCGAAACATAAGATTAAAAATACTTGGATTAACGGTAGTTTGTTTCTACTCGAAAAGGTTAGCTTAAGGAAGAGCCTAGACGCCGTTTTTGTTAAAAGAAAATCCGCCTAGAAAATAATTATGCAAATTAGGCCCTTAAGGTTTTTGAAAATTTCTGTTCAAATTCCGTAAAAAGCGATGTTTAACAAAATCGAAAATTAGCGCTGGTTTCGAAAGAAAATTATCGTATTTTTAGTTATTCAAATTAGGATTCCAAGTGTCAGCGTTTTCAGATAGAGTGTGAGAAATTATGCAAGTGAGTGAAAATGAGATCAATTAGAATAAGCGACAGGCGCATTCGAGTCTTGCGAGTTTGAAAAGTTTTGGAATATAATGAACGAATTACGGTACGATAGCCGTTGGCTGGAGTACACTAGGATACGTTACGATACGCTACGCTACGATAGAAAATTTTGGGATTCTAGGAAGAGCGAAAGCCGAAGGAAGCTTGTAAGTTTGGCGTATTTTTTGGTGTGTACACCATTTTCGCGAATTTTCGATTACAGTACAGCTACAGTAAGCTAATTCAAGCAGCAGTGTTTTTTTCTATTTAATGCTCTATAGCTACAGTATGCTTTTACATCAATGTGTACACTGTTCACAATTTTGAGCTCGTACGCGGTGTGCTACAGTATACGATCACAAAAGCTCACTCGGTGCACTTGGATGACACGGCCAAATGGGTGCGCTGTGACCTTTTGGTGTCGAACGGGGCGCCGAGTGGGGATACGGTAGGGATCAGCACCGAGGTCACGTCCTGAAAAATTTAAATTATCATAATGTACCGAGTTTTAGCTGTTCTAGCACCACAATTACAGTAAGATTTGCCTAGATTATGTAGTTGCCGCCAAAACGTCATTTATTTTTATGAAAGCAAAAATTAGGTATGTGTTTGCATAATGCTAAAGTAGCTTTTTATAATTTAAAAAGATCTATTTTTTTGAAAGTTGCCAAACCCCCAAAAATACAGTAGATTTCTATCACTTACGGTCCGAATTTTGTAAAGTTTCTGTAATTTTGATTAAAAACTAGTTTTTATTGGTAAAAATTAATAAAATTTGAATAACGTGGACAGTATATTTTTTAATTTATTTGACGTAACAATTTTCTAATAAAATTCTAAACCCTGAAAACTACCATAATTAACGATTTTTGGTAGTTAGTATTGCGACTGGACATTTGATTTTATCCTGATTAGCATAATTTTTATGCCAATTTTTTAGTGAAAAGACGCGGACAAGCGATGCTAACAAAGGGTTTTTTTACACATAGAATTTCCTTAGCCCGTACAACTCATAAAAGGGCTCCGTTTGGTGGAGTATTGTGGGTGGGACCTGAAAGCTTACAGATTTGCCTTCAGTGCCCCTTTAAAATGCCAAAAATTTAATTTAAACGGTATAACTTACAGTAAAACCGACCGTCTCCGAGCCGAAGTGCGTCATCTTGTAGAGGGCGGCGCCGCACGACGTCGAGACGAGGAAATTCTTGACGGATTTCCGGAACCGTTTGCCCCAGATGATGAACACCCAGAAGTTGGATGAGCAGTTCAGCACCAGCAGGAAGTTGCTGATATCCACGAATAGTGAGGCCATCGAGCTCGACATGAACTCCTCTTTGCCGACGATCTGGAATATTTGGAAATTGAAAAATCAAAGTGCGAACTTCCAGACGAAGCAAGATTTGTTTTTAAGCATAACTTAAAGATTATATTGTGTCTTTAAACCGCGAAGTGACGAAAAATTTAAAAAACCCCTGAAAATCACCAACTTTTTGGCCACGAACCTATTCGTAGACCAAAGAACAGCGATTTTTCGATTTCTGGAGTTTGACCGGTTAGCGAGCTCAATCCATAAGCTATAAACATTTTTTTTGCCTTCAGTGGCCCTTTAAAGCCCGAAACTTTCTCTTCGATACCTCAACCGCCTGCCAATCACCCCCGGTTCGCACCGACCCTTTGTATGCCACTCGGTGCCCTCCGCTGTCACCTGGGGGTATAGCTCAGTGGTAGAGCGCTCGCTTAGCATGCGAGAGGTCTGGGGTTCAATTCCCCATACCTCCAAAAGAATTTTGCTTTTTGGGGATTAGCCTTTTATTTTCTTTTACTATCATTTTTGATGTCCAATTTTGCACCTATCCCTAAATCAATCCAAAAACAACCACTCAATATTTGTTAGGCTTCCCACCCAACTTGCACTATTTAGGTTTTTGGGATGCATTTTTTAGGATGCTAAATATTCTCCGGATTTTTTGTGTGGTCCTAATGGGTTCGTGAATCCATAGAATCGGCTAGGAGAGAAGGAATTAAAATTCAATTGGATTTTTTTAGGGTTTTGCAGGGTCCAAAACTCACGTGCTCCAGCAGATCGGCAACGGTGGGCAAGATGTCGGAGATCAGGAACTTGGCGATGACCAGCACGAGCATGATGTTCGCTTTGTGCTCCTTTCTGAAAATGGCATACTGTAGGTGAGTCAGGTTTTAAGGGTTAGTTTGGCTTTATCTAGCTTTTGAACAGAAAATTTGGCTTTTTTAGGCGTTACCCGAAACCGTAGTCGGCGAGGGTGTTTTTGAATCTTAATCGTCGAAAAAATAAACTGTAAGCCAGCTTTAGTAACTTTTTAAAATGGTGACAGCAAGTTTACACGAAAGTACAGTAACCCAGAAAAATCGACAAAATCCAATTAAACTAATTTTTAAAGAATTTTTTTTACCTGCTATATACCGTAGCTTTCGCCTTGCATCGCCTGTCGATATCCAAATTTGGCGGGCAAAGCTGCCGTCGCTGAGCCACTGCATTTCGCAATTCGATCGAGATCCTCGCCGTCAGGGCGCACAATAGCAAGCAGGGGCACAGCGTGACGAACATCATGGCCAGCACGATGTGGTAGACGGACCAGTAGAGACGGTCCTAAAAATATAGAGACTATTTAATCTATATCTTTAACGTTATAAGCTATTTTACTATACTTTTACTGTTCTATTTTACTGTCTACCCAACTTGCAGAAGTTCAATGTAATCAACGCTAAGGGGGTTTGAATTTAGAACATAACCGGCGTCCTCAAGAAGTTCAGGTCTTCCCTACAAAGTACACCAAAGTACAAACTTGCACGTGCTTTTAGAATAGTGAAAGTTACTATCCTTGGCTATTTTTGTTTCAGGTTTTACCCACGAACTTTTCCCTCTCAAGTTGGTGCTCAGAATTTCAAGAACTTCAAGGAGTTTCGGAGCAGCTTTGAAGGGATTTGCATAAATTAAAGGGCCTGGAAGAGAGAGACAGAGAGAGAGAGAGAAAACCGCCAAAACCTACATCAAAAAGCGCCGTCCGGTCAATAGCCGGATAACAAATGTATTGAGTGTCGTCGCGACTCGCGTTCAAGTCAGCAGTTATTGTTGCGGTTGTTGGTCCCATTGTTGTTGTTCCGTTTGGAGCCTTTACTGCCTGGCATATCTGAATTTTTGACTTTTCCAGAAATTCCGAAGCTTCCACCTCAACAGCATGCACCTCGAAGAAGCGCGGCAGCGAGAAGAGGCACGCCAGCAGCGAGACGACCAGCATCAACCGCTTGACACGGCTAAAAATATTCAATTTTTAGAAAGGAAAAATTTACATACCTGCGCTTCCCGATGGCTCGATGTTTCAGTGGTTGGCACAGGGCCAAATATCTATCGATAGTCAGCGTGAGGACTATCCAGACGGACCCTGGAAAGTTGCAGGGGTTTAAAGGGACTATGAAGTGAGGAAAAAAGCATTTTTAATGGCACATTATATTTATATTGGCTAAAGAAAAACATTTTTTATAATAATACATTTCATTTTTATTTTTCAGAGGGACGGAGAAGCCGGCAGATTCAGTCCAATTTTCAAATGTGTAAATTCATACCTGTATGTGTGGTATTCGCAAACGTATAGACGTAAGGATAAATGTGGACGTAGCTCCCCGTGGATATCAGCTTCCCGTATAGCAAATTTGGCAGGGAATACAGAAGGAAGGCATTGCACAGCAAGGCTGTTTGCCACATTGTTAGCGTCACCTGGAAATGAGGGAATTTTTACGGTTTTCAGCCAGTTTTTCTCTGTCGCTGTCGCTGTGGCTCTTGCGCGCTCTCTCTCTCACTCACTCACTCACTCTCTCTTTCGCTTTACCGTTCTCTCGCTCTTTTTTCATTCTGGAAACTCTGAAAAATTTGACCCCAAAGGAAACCACTCTGATTCATTCTTGTGCTAATTAGATACGACACTTTTTGACCCCGGACTACGCTCTTTCCTCCCAACACCCCATTCAAGCCCCTTTGCTTGCAAAAGCAACCCGATTCCCTCTTCAAAAAATATCTGGATGTTTGCAAAATCTCACATTCCACACCACCCCCTCCTCCCCCCACCAAATACGCAATTACCCCCCCCCCCGCCACCCGCGAGGGCAACTCATTTTACGCGCCGCTCCTATAGACGTCCACCCGTAGCCCCGCGGAATCCTGCCCAAATATTATGACAACGTTCCGTAGCTGGTGCTCCGGAGAGAGAGGGGGAAACGAGGGAGAGAGAGAGAGAAAAAGAGAGAGAGAGAGAGAGCGAGGAGAGAGCGAACTAGCGCGAGAACTGCCACGTGCAGATGGTGTTTGCCAAACCCCGAGAAATCCTTGGGGTATTTGCTGCGAAATAACTGTCCCCGAAGAGGTGGCCGAAATTGGAAAAGCTCCGCGGCAAATTCAGCGGCAGTAGTAGTATGATACTACTCGCCGGTTTCACTTAGGTCTCTGATCGTCTAGAGGGTGTTTAGGGGTGTCTAGCGTAGTCCTAGGGTTATGAAAAAGGTGCAAGAAGGTTATGCAAACCTTAAAGTATCACTGAAAATTTCTAGTATTTATTTTGGAGCCGGTTTCGATGAATTTTGCGGCGGAAACCTTGAATTTATACATTGCTGCTACCTGCCTTAAGTGCTCCTTTATAACGGATTTTTTCCTTTAATTGAGGCGTCTAGAGGAGCGTAACGTAGTCAGGATGGGAAAAATACGGTGAAATCCGGACCTTAAATTCCTTTTAGGGCCAATCACTCAATTTTGCAGGTGTTCAGAGGATTGTAACGTAGCCGAGGCGTTAATAGAGAATTCCTTACCAGATAATACTGGATGGCTGGGGTGCCGGTGCGCTCGCATCGGAGAAAGATGAAAATCGAGAAGAGGTTCAGGACGACTCCTGAAAAAAATGAAAATATATTAATATAAGTACCTAAGCAATAATAAACTTAAATATAAACATTATGAAAATGCGCGGTTTTTATAATAACATAGTTTTTATTTATACTGCTATGAAATTATACAAAAAATCTATTACCGGTAATGACAAACGCCGCCGTCAGGTAGCCGTTCAAAATGTGCGATATCATCTCGACGGCGCTCTCCACCCAGGTGTAATCAGTAAGCTCCTCGACACTTGGATTCGAGTCCATACTGAAATCAGAGTCGTTAATTTTTGTATATAAAGCATCGCAAATTCGTAAACGTTCATGAACGCCTCACAAAATTTTAGAATTCCCAGGGCTACGCAACACAACTTTGGGGATCAGTGATCTGCAGAATGCGCTAAGAGGTGAGGTTTGTAATTTGATAATTTAATCAAGATTTTTAGCGGATCTCAGGGGACTTCAGGAATTTTAGAGATCCGATTTTTACATTTGAATTTAGAAAATGGTGCATTGGGAAACTTTGTGACTTAAAAAATTAAATGAAAAGCTTAGAGAATTCACACTTTTTGGGTTTTGCAGGTTGTTAAAGGTCCATTCAAGTCTAAAATCTATTAGCTAACCAAATCCTTACGGTTTTAGAAATTGCAAAACTTATCAAGACTACCGAATTGAGGTAGAATTCCGAGACTTTATTAAAATACGTCACAAGAGCAAAGAAAAGTTAAAAAGAAATACTTTCCGTGCTGTTTGGAGAGCTTTAAAGGGTCATTGAAATCAGGAATCTATTAGCTACTCAAATTCCAAAGGTTCTAATAGCTTTGGAAGTTATTTCAAAGTCAGAATTCTGTTAAAGTCCAAGTTTTCATCACCGAAAGCCTTGATCACCGATCTCCCGGCTGAAAATCCGCTAAAATAATGGATCAAGGGTAGTACTTTCTGCGCGGCAACAATATCCACAAAATAGCGAGCCAATGAAAGGGACTAGAACACACACACACACACACACGAAAAGTCCAAAAAACGCCAACTTCCCATTATTTTGTCTTCTATTCCAATACAATACCCCGCGGCACCAACATATCCAAATCCGCCGCCCCCTAAGAAAAACTAAAAAGTAGGCGGCGTTTCCCTAAATCCAATCCCGCTTTTTTCACAGGCTTCTCCTAATCTAGATGACTCAGAAAAACTGGCTAATTTCGAAGAACTTGGATTAAATCCGAAAATCCTGGTTGCATAAAATTTATAATCATCAAACACACCCCCACAAACTGCCCGATTTTTCGGGATCGAAGATTTGGGCAAAGCCGGCTCGACTGAATTTCTGGACGCTTTTGGGCCCAAATTTGGCTTCCCGGCAGGGTAGTGGAATGTACAAAATATTCCACGGTTTTCTACTGATCAGCGTGACTCAGGGAATCTGTTATTTCCTACGGATTTGAATTGGAGAATCCAAATCCCGAAATCAGCCAAAAATCCGTGATGCATAGAACATATAATCATCAAAAACACCCTCACAAAGTGGTCCGTTTTAAGGCATATAGTGGATTGATGTTTTGGGAATGTGGAAATCTGGGCTTATCTCAGTTTAACACAGCGATACTCAAGATTTTTGGTAAAAATTCGACTTCCCGGCACGAGCACGGGAATGTACGAAATTGGAAGAAAATGTGGAAAAATTAGTCAGCATGTTTTGGGAAAAATTCAAATGGCTCCATGCAATGCGGTAACGCGTTTTTCATCGCGTAATTGGTTACGATCCTATTAAGATAGCGAAACGGAGCTTGCGCGGCGTGTTGCGTGCCGCATTGCGGCGCGTTTTGCGTTAATTGTCGCGTTGCGTATCGTGTTTATTGGCTTGCCTTGTCAATCCCTTTAAAGCTAGCAATCAAGAACCGAAATTCCAGACAAACCGGAGAAATAAAACCTCCAGAATATTCCCAAAAACCCGCGCGGGTCACGGGACCTACAGTAGGAAATCCGGGTCCCCCTGGAAAGGCGTTTGTAGCCTCGGGTCCCGGCCCACAAATCCCACCCAAATTTGTCCGCGCATGAGCTCCGACGTATTTTGCTCACCCCACAAAACCGCGTGGAGTCGTTCAGGGGTTTCTTTTGAAACGAAATTCTAGTCCAGAATCTAGCCAACATGGACTCCAGGTAGGAAAAGTACGCAGGGCTACGTATTTACTGATTGGAGAAGGTACTTACGAATTATTCGACGCAATTCTAGACACTCCAAACGTTATGCTGTACCTTAGAACGCCTAGATGCCCGTGAAAGCCAAATAATATGCAAAATGACCCAAATTCCCGTCATGTACGCGACGATCCGCTACGCAACACTCCCTAATGACGCCCAGACGAGGAAGCGCCAGATGTAGAAAATCGAGAAAGCAAGAAAATGCAAGACGAGCTAACGTTCTCCAGAAGCGAGAAAAAGCCAAAAAAATCACGCCGCTCAGACGATGACGAATAAATTATGCAAATTGAGGCGCGGCTACGCTATACAGCTAAATAAATCGTAGTAGTAATAAGCCTACTAATAAGATTCTGAATTATGCAGGTGAACGTCTATAGGAATCCCGTAGCGATCAAAATCCGCGAAAACCCAGATAATCGTGCCCTCTAGTTTCACGCCCCGATCTTCTGCTTTGCCCTCAAATTTCAGGCTTCACGGTCAGAAATCGCCAGACTCAAAATCCTCATGGAAATAACCCGGATTCCGGAAAACCCAATTGAAATCTCCTCGAAATCCCCTCGCAATGTGGCTCAAACAAAACCCTTTCTTTCGGGCGTGTGACCAGAACACGGCGCGTGTAGACGAGTGGGATTTTCGCAACATTTTTTGGGCGGCGGATTTGGTTTTTGAGGAAGGTCGATAACTACGTAATTTGTAGCGTAACGTAGTGTTCATCACAATGTTGGGGAAGCGAGAGAGAGGGATAGATAGAGAGAAAGAGAAAGAAAGGGAGAGAGCAAGACCGAGATTGAGAGAGAGAGTATGCGGACGGGAGAAAGAGCTCGCTAGACCGCTTTGAACGTGGAATTTCCCTGTCGCTCCTCCTTTTAAGGAACGCACATGGCATTAATATGAAAATTTAGCTCCGACGAACTTTTTAAAGGATCAGACAAGGCATAGCAATTATTTTATTGGCTATGGATTTCCTTCAGAAAAATTGTGACAAAAATCCATTGCTGTTGGTTTTTGGGGGGGTTGGGTTTTGTAAAAGACCTCTCATTCGAAATGGACGGGAAATTGGTGAGGTTTTTCTTTTTTTTTTTTTAGGGATTTTAATTTTTTTTTTTTAAAAAAAAAAATAAAAAAAAATGGGGGGGATTTTCTGGGGTGGGGGATTTGAGAGAAATTTTTCCTTTTTTGATCCGTGGGCCCCCCTCCCCCCCCCCCCCCCCCGGGTTTGGGGGGTGGTTTTTGGGGTGTTTTTTTTTTTTTTTTTTTTTTTTTTTTTGGGTTGGTCCCCCCCCTGGCGCCGTTTTTTTTTTTTTTTTTTTTTTGGGGGGGAAATTTTTTTTTTTTTTTATTTTTTTTTTTTTTATTTTTTTAAAAAAAATTAAAAAAGATTGGGGGGGGGGGAGGAGGGGGGGATTTTTTCCTTTTGTGGGGGGGGGGAAAAAAAAATTTGTTTGGGGGAAATAAAAAAAAAAAAATATTTTGGAAAATAAAAAAAAAAAAGGGGTTTGGGGGGAAAAAAAAAAAAAAAAAAAAAATTTTTGGGGGGGGGAAGGGGAAAAAGAAAAAAAAAATTTATGGGGGGGAGGGGGGGGGGGGCCCGGCCCAACCCGGGGGGGGGGGGGAGGGGGGGGCTGGCTTTTGGGGGGGGGATTTTTAAGGGGGGTTTTTTTCCGGGGGAATAATAACCTTTTTTTTTTTTTTTTTTTTTAAAAAAAAAAAAAAAAATTTTTTTTTTTGGGAAAAAGGGGGAGAAAGGGGGTTTTTTAAGAAAATAAATTTGGTTGGGGGGGTTTGTTTTAAATATTTTTCCTCCCCCAGGATTTTTCCGTTTTTGCCTCCGGGGGGATTCAAAATTCGAAAAGGGCGCCTTGGGGGGGGGGGAGGGGATTTGGGAAAATTGGGAGGGTTTTTTTAAAAATAAAAAAATTGGGAATTTGTAGGGGTTTTTGGGTTATTTTTTTTTTTTTGGATTAGAGGGTGGGGGGGGGGGGGGTTGAGGGATTTTTTTTTTTGGGGGGGGGGGGGGTTTGTGATTTTTTTTTTTTTTTTTTTTGGGAAAGTTTTCCCCTCCTCCCATGTTTTGAGGTTTTTTATGGTTTCTCTAAAAAAAAAAAAAAACATAAAATTTTAAAAAAAAAGGGGAACACTTTTTAAAAAGAAAAAAAGGGGGGGCGGTGGGGAGGAAAGGGTTTGGGGGTTTTTTTGGGGGAAATTTTTGGGGAAAAAAAAAAAAAAATTTATTTTAAAAAAAAATTAAAAAAAAGGGGGAAAAAAAGGAGGAGGGGATAAAAAAAAAAAAAGAGAACGGAAGGGGTTTCAGGGGCGGTCCCCCCCCCTCTAAGGCGTGGCGCCTTCTCCTTGGGGGGGGGATTTTTCTGGGGTCTTGGGGGCTGATATTCCCTTATTTCTGATGAAAATTTTTTTTTTTTTAAAAAAAAAATTTTTCTTTTTTGGATATTTTTAATTTTTGGGGCCAGGGAGGGGGGTTTGACCGGGGGGGTGGAATCGGGGGGGTGGGGAAGGAAATTTGGGGGGGGGCCCTTTCGGAACCCCTCGGGGCCCCCCTTGGGGGCCCTTGGGGGGTTTTGAATTTTTATTTGGGGTTGGGGGTGGGGTTTGGGACCCCCCCCCACCCACCCCCCTTAGTTTTTCCGGTCCCTTTAAAGCCCCAGAAAATCCAGCTAAAACCTAAATAAACCCAAGACAAATCCAGCACAAAAATTCGCATTCCACGCTCATAGATCGCCCCCTCACCCCCAAAATATCTCGATTTGTGACCCCCGAAAAAGCGCCAAAAAATTCACGCCAAACTTCTGGGAAACCCCCTATGGAAAAACGGAGGGTAAGGGGAAGAAAAATGGGCTGGGTCGTTGGCCCCCGAGGGCTGGCTGAATACTCAATAAGATCCGATCCCTCATCCCTCCCCTCTTTTTGAGGCCACCGTAATGAGAAGCAAACACACGATGACCATGGCCCAGCAAAAAAACTGGCCGGAAAATCAATTCCGACGTTGCGAAAATATTAGCTGGGGGTTCAGATTACCGTTCTTCGGTCCAGGGCAAAGGGGAGGTGGAGGG